CCCCCCCCCCCCCCCCCAAGACTCCAACGATGTTGGGGTTGTACTGGGTTTCTACCATATGCTGTTGAATCGTGTTTGATGACAGCCACCACCCCACCCTCAGACCCTCCATAAAAAAGTCTCGTTTCAAAGTGATTTTGTCATAAAAAAGTTCATTTTGACCAAGCAAAGACATTTTTTCATGTCATTTGCCAAAAGAATGCGTAAAAAAAAGTCACAAACAAGTTACACATTGTAACTTTAGTGGTACAGACAAACAAATTGAAAAAATAAATATAAGCACGATTCACAACTTATGACATGTACAATACCAAAAAATGTGATAAACTCTTTCTATACTTTGGGGAATTTAAAAGTTGTATATTGGTCATAGGTCAGACATGGCTCTTTTTTGGGGATGGGTAATAATAAACTTTTGCTATAGTTTGAGCATGTTGATAAGCTGATGATTTTTACTAAAATAACTGTCAAGTTCTTAAATAATCCGGCACCCAAAGTTTGCATAAGAAGATACTCCAAACACATTATACCAGCAGCATAAAGATGTCATATATGAGTAGTAAACAAATACCTCTATTTGAAAAGGAGAAGTTGTTGGTGCATATCTTTCCACTACTTTTCCATTTTTGTCCACAAGGAACTTCTCAAAGTTCCATTTGATGAGACCCCCTAAGAATCCTCCAGCACTTGATTTTAGGAAATTGTAAACTGGTGCTGTGTTTGGCCCATTCACATCAACCTGTTATCATGAATTTATTACTCCGTAGATATATGTATATTGTTCTAGCCTTCAAGAGTTTGTTAACATGGAATAATGAGAAAATAGCATTGGAACAAACCTTGTCGAAAATAGGAAATTCAGCTTTGAACCGTGTGCAAGCAAACTGTTTTATCTCCTCATTGGATCCTGGTTCCTGTCCCCCAAATTGATTACAAGGGAAAGCAAGAATTTCAAATCCTGTGATAAATGGAGTCAAACAAGTATTAGCATCTGTCAGACTAATATGATATTTTTGGCGACAGAGGTTTATACAAAAGTTCCAGAGATACAGTTAAAGGATTAAGATTATCTATGTTTTTGATCATGTGCGAGTGGCCAACCAAAAAAAAAGAATAAACATGATAATATAATTTTCTCTGAATAAGATTTAGTCCCTCCGTCGCACTATTTTTGGGACATGGAGTAGTGGCACACTGGCATGCATATCAAGAAAAGTGAAATTGTATAGATGGTATTAACGCTAAGAAGTAAGAAAAAGTAAGTATGTATGCGAGCCACACAAACGCTTAAAAAAAGTTTCTTAATTCCCAAATATACACACAAGTACGCAACATCTAAATTCCTAAGAACAAATGTGATACTCCCTCCATTACTACTTCTGAGATGGACAAAAATTGTTGGACGGAGGGAGTATCACATATGCTTTTAGTAGCTTAGATGTTGCGTAACTTTAAAATAAGCAATGCATTCAATAGTCTCAATTTGAAACAATTGTACAAGTTGCAAGTGAAGATCAACGATAAGCGATTTTCAACACAAAGAAGTTCAACACAAAGAAGATCAACGATAAGCGATTTCTTTTCTCAACCATTGTGAAAAGAAATGTCAAATTGGCAGAGCACAAGAAAATAGCATAGCACGTTCCCACTAAAAAAACTATACCACCTTGAGATTTGTACTTTTCATATAGATGAGAGAGTTCTGAGTAGTTAGAACTTGTTAAGCCACTGAAACCAAAAACAATAACTAGAGTCAGGTTAAATAGCCAAGGCTCAGCACCAAACTTCAGTAAGAAAGATCATTATGCACTCCTTAATTGTTTATATTTATCCACTATATTCATTAACATCGAGAGAGAGAGAGAGAGAGAGAAAGAACCATTTCGAAGCAACATTTACAATCAACAGAACCTTTCCCTTAAATTTACTTAGTGAAATATCTGTCCCTTCTACATCCTGCATTTAGGACAATAGAAACATGTTAGAGCGATACACCAATGGGCTTAAGCACAAGAATTGATCATGATTAACAAGGAAGGAGTAATTAACTGGAATATGAGAAGTGGGATAGAATATCTTAATTCCAATTTAACAGGCTACAATAAAGGAGTTAAAGCAAGAATATAGGAATTTCAATCATACAAAAACATTAGTTCTTGAGAGATCTCTTCGAAAAGAGATTATCTTCCTTTCAAGCATGAAGATAGAAGATCTTAACATTCAACTCCAGCTTGAGTTTTGATAATTATTTCTGCAAAAGGCATATAACATTCCAGGACCTAATTTGAAGGGGAACTAAATCTAAACCGATCCCTATACATAAAGCATAATAATTAGGAGCAACTGAATTGCTAAGACAGAAAATAAACATGGATAGAATACCTTAACCGTGAAATCGTGAACACTCTTCTCGGTGGCAGCTCTTGAGTAGATATTTGCAGAGAATCTGGACTTGAGAAGAGGGGAGGAGAATCTGGAGGACGGGAGAAAGGCGGCTTTATGGAAAGGCGGCGGGTTTGAAGAGAGAAACGCAACGGAAGGAGGAAAGTTGAAGCATGGGTTGATGAAGAGCTTGGCAGGTCCGGCGCAACCAAAGCTTATGGGCGCTGAGAAAAATGCAGAGAAAGCCATTGATGACGTCACGTGCTGGACTAAAGGTTTCCTTCACCCAAAACACACCCACGATAATCGGGTGAAAATAAATAAGGAGTACGTAATCGGGTGCACAAACGGGAACGGCGTGTCGCGGTACTGGAATAGTTACCGGCCCAGACTAAACGGTTTGTTCTGTGTTCAATTTTTTCAAATTTTTTTTTGATAATTTAGCGCAATGGTAATACTTGTAACGGCCCACAGTCTCACTGTCATTTTAAAGCCTAGGGGCGTTAAAATACCACCCCTGGAGCTTCACCGTGGCGTCATTTCTTCGGAGTCATACGTTTGACGCAGCTTCCCCCTATAACGGCTAAATTAGCCGTTGGAAGCTAAAAAAAATTACGAAGTAATTACTTTTTTTAATAAATTTCAAACTCCATCTCTTCCAATTCTCACACCTTTCAATCTCCAATTCTCATCAACCCTCTTCACATCTTCTTCAATTCTCCAACTCTCTTTTCAACATGAATCCTTCCGGCTTCGACTTCTTCCCTGACGATCTCGAGCCTCACGAGCATGCCATGTGGATCTTCCAACAATTCGGGAGTAATCCGTCGATGTTCGAGACGCCTTTATCGAGGTACGTCTATGAGCGGGAGTCGGTTCCAGAGACTCAACCAGAACCATCCGGCACCAAAAAAAATGCACGCCGGAAGAACTACAAAGCGAAAGGCACTCAAGCGATGACTGAGGCGTCACGGTCAGTCCAAAAGTGGACGCCAGAGGAAGAGTGCTTGTTGGCGTCGGCTTGGGTTGATGTCTCCGAACATCCTATCGTTGGTAAAAATTATATGTTTTTTAATATATTTATGTTTTTATTTATATAATCGTGTTATATATTTGTGTTAAAAAAAATTCGTGTTATACTTTTTAAAGGTTCGGAGCAAACGAAGGATGCGACGACCTCAACCTCAGCAACGACGGAGGATCTTTTCTTTGACGCTCCACCGTCAGAATTGTTGAGTTGTTGCCACTTCGGTGAATGACTCAAAATCCTCCAAAGTTTGATGGGCACCATGCCTTGGTGCCCGTCATCTTGATACCGGGCCGTGGCAAGTCGGAGAACATCGGCGTCGTTCGTCCCGCTCCTCCGGGACCGGGCGCATTCCTCGTAAACTCCAATAAGTTTCGGGCTTTACGGTTGATGTGGCTCCATTTGGAAGTGAGTTGGTCCCGGGTACGGTAGGAGCCGTCCTTGTTAATCGCCGTAAAGAACTCCCTTCAACGTTGTGGATTCCGATGACGAGGACCCCATTCCACGGCCGATCGGAAGAAAGAAGGCAAAATCTATTGCCTTGGGTTCTGGAGGGTCCGGCTCTGTTTCCGTTTCTTCTCACGATGATATCGGTCGGGTAATGGTTGAGCAACTTTGGGTGTTCAATATTCGAGAAGAAGAGAGGGCGAGAAGAAAGGAAGAGAATGAAGAAATTGAAATAATGGAAACCGACCTTTTTACGTTATCGGCCTTCAAACGTATGATCTTCGAGAGAAGACAAAAAGAGATCAAGGTCAAATATAATTTACCTTAGTTTTTTTATTAATGTATTTTTTTATTATTGTCGCTTTCTTTTTTTTAATTTAATGAATATAATTTTTTAATTGTCGCTTCAATTTCTTTTAATTTAATGAATGTAACTTTTTTTAATTATTCTTTTTTCAATATAATTAAATAATAAAATAATTAAATTTTATTAATTTAGTTTTAGAAGATGCATATATTTGAAGCCCATGTTTGAAGCCCCGGGGCTTCAACCCATTTCCATTGAATCTGTGAGGTAACTTAAAGCTCACGTGGCAGAGAGAGAAATTTTGAAACCGCAATTTGAAGCTTCGAGGCTTCACCGGTATTTCCAGTGCTTTTATAAATGTGTAAGTGCAAAAACAAAAGAAATTTATAACTTTTTATGAATTAGAATATATAAAAATGTAATTGTTATTCAAACAATGAAAAATAAATAGTAGAAAACAACTACATAAAATATCCTTACGGTTCCGAAAAAACGATGATGTAAAGAACCTAGAAGAAAGAACTAATTATAATTTTAAAAAAATAAAAAGTTATTCCTCAAACTAGGACTTCCCTCTATAGTTGAATCCATGTAATTTTCGGTATCAATGTCGTACCCTAACTCTTGAGCTCGACGTCTTGCCAAGAGCCAATCTCGGTTGAAAACAATTGTCTCAAGCGATTCAGCGCTAAGAGAACTTCGGTAGTCAGTTAGAATGTTGCCGCTAGAACCGAGTTCTTGTTCCACAACTAGAGTTGAAACTGACATGGATAAGACTTGTCTGGCTAGCATTCCGAGAGATGGGAACATGTGTTTATTCTACTTCCATCATTCGAGGACGTCGAAGGCCCTGTCATTGTCTTCGTCGTAATTGCATGGCACCTCTTGGTACATACCAAAGTTCGTTGTGTAAAATTACACTTGTACCACCTAAACTCATCGAGGCAGAACTATGCTTACCTTTTTTGCCAAGAGACCAACGACTATCCCTTTAAAACCTTTTTTTGCCTTAAGAGGCGGAGGAGGTGCTATTTCTTTCGGTGCATTACTGTAAATCGCTTGAAATTCTATAAATAATAACTCAAAAAGATTAATAAATAATTTTGACATTATCTCTTCTGTCCATTCTATTAAATGATAATAAAAATAACTATTTTAATCTAAAAAACAACTATAGTAATACTCAATTAGATCTTTAAAATTATCAATCTTAAATCGAGGATCACAAATAATACCAATTTTATAAATATCAGGAATATAAAAATAATAAGCACACCATTTATTCTTCATAGAAATCACATAGGGATATAACTGTGGATCAGATACCCGCGGAGAAGGCCCCTGGCAGCCCACCCAACAAATACCGGCCTTGGAGGTTGGTATGTGACCCAGCACCCTGGAGAGATGATCCGCGGCGCGGGGATGATGTTGCCAGTTGACATCAACTCTCCGCTCTTCCAATTTGGCAAAACGTCCAGAATCCAAATCCCCTCCATGGATCCCAACAGCTACTACATCATGATGAGGGTCATGATGATGAACCAAACCATGATTGTAACACCCTAATCCGTCCAGGTTTGCAGCCCTTTCGGACTAAAGTATAAACTTGGTATTCGTAAACATTCAAAAAATATTTTAAACATTTAAAACTTTATTTCATAATAAATCATTCAAAATAATAACGGAGTAATTTAATGTTGCGGAAGCTTAATAAAACACAATACAAGCATAATTAATTTATGTCTTTTCAAAGAGTAATTCAAATCCAAAACACACATTCGTCCGACCACCTCGTCCCATCTGCCTCCAAGAAATCATTGCTTCATTCTTTTTGTTTACATGCGTGTCGCAAATTAAACATACTACACGCTCAACGTTTAAGTTGAGTAAGCATATCTAATGCGTCGAACATCCATATAAACTGAATCTAAATTCATAATCAAATCATTTGATATCATGCACATAATGTTCAGTTCAGATAATCAATAATTATAAGTCAATATTCATTATTTATTATTCAACATTTATATTCATATTCAACATTCATCAGTCATTCATAATATTCACAATACTTAATTCAATAATTATCATTCAATGTTTATTCATATTCAATATTCAACATTTGAAAATATTCTTAAACTATTCTTAGTCTAAGGCCAATCATTTTAATGTTCGTCAACCCTTAAATGAATTCTAGTTTAAATAATTAAACTATATTCCAGTATATAGAGTACTCCTAAATAATCCTTAAGCTAGAAATAGTTTAAGATAAAAGGGTTTTGAAAATCTTAAACTTACCTTCACTTAAGGCCAACCAAAAACCGACAGCGTAGTGTTCACTGTTGGGTGGGTGATACCCCCAAACGATTGGTTCTTGGATCCCGTGCGTACGTTTTAACCCTGGCCACCGGGGTTCATACCCGCAAGGCCTAACTTAAATGGGTATATCCTAGAGGTCTTCTAGATACCCTTTCAAATCAACATTAATATAGGTATATCTTAGAGGTCTTCGAGATACCCTTAACAATACATATTATTTTTACAATCATCAATAATATTCAATAACAATTAGCGGCCTAGTTTTGGGTGTTAACACCCTAACTTACCGTCATGCATCACATAACTTTTTTATTTCTTAAAAACATCACTTTTATTGTGAAAAATCATTTTATAATGATCATAATCAATTGGTATCGAAAATAGGATTTTAGAGCTCAAAAATAGCATTTCCAGACAAATTTTTGGGTCAGTGTTTCAGAGGATTGATCTAATGAAGATGATCAATCCACTCTGTGGATTTTCAGCCACTGTTCATTCATCTTCAACCTCAGTCCATTTTTCAGAAAAAAATATTATTAGTCACCGAACTTCAATTAAACTATATACAAATATTCTCCAAGGTTCATAGATCATTTTAGAATCATTAAATCATATTTTTAACATCAAATTCAAGGTTTATGATTCTTAGTTCTTCAAGCATGTCAAACACAAAACTCAACCAAACGACCGTTTATGAACGTAGAAACGATCTATACGAACATTCTAGTCACTAGATGTATCTACGGGCTTACCTCGAAGGTAAATGAAGGTTTTGAAGATTTTCTGGCGAAACTTCCGGCGAGATGGTCCTTATATAGCCAAGTGAAGAGGAAGAAGACATGGTGATGACCTCCAATCTCCTGTTTTGGCGTCTCAGTGGAGCGGACGCCTGATTTCTACGGGTTGTAAACGCAAGTCCCTGATTGGGACTAAATTGGTCCCAGTCGCGCGGGGAACACTTTTTTGTCCAACTTTCTCCGAATTGAAATCCGATTGAACTGTTGGAATCAGACATTTAAACTCTACATAACGATAAAATTTTAATTATTTATTGACAAACTTTATAATTCACATATTTTTAGGTCCTTCTCTGTAATTAATTAATTATCAATTAATTAATTCTGATAGGCCTATTTTCGGGGCGTTACAATGATGGGCTTCCAGGCGCCAATCTCCATGCATCAATCAACGGCACTCTTGTATGAAGGACGGCAGGAGGATTTGCAAAACATGGCGGAAAACGCGCCCACCATCTAAAAGAGCTGATGGAAAATTCCCACATGCACCTGATGGTGGATGGACGCATGGATAAGGAAGCAGGTCGATCTCTGTAGAAGGTCAACGACAAGGCCCCAGAGGATATGGTTGTGAGAAAGCAAGCAAGGTACAAGGATAGGGAAAAAGCAGGAAGGCAGCACGAACCCCTATAGGAAGGACATGACGAGAGCGAAGCACAAGTGTTCGTCTTTAGCTGGATACGTGTGCCCACCATATGTCGGCTGCATGGCTGGAGGAACACCATCGCCCGTGACCAGGCAATCAAGGTAAGGATATGTTAGTCGGTTTAGTCGTTGTTCCCACGCCTTAGAGGGGGGGTGAATAAGGCGTTTTAGAATCTTTTCGAAGTTTAATAAAACCGGTGTTGGAAAATGCGGAAGCAATATATAAAACGCAGAAATAAAAGCGTAAATAAAATGCACACCGATTTTATACTGGTTCGGGAACTCCCTACTCCAGTACCTCGAGGCTCCTCCTCAAGGATTTCCGAATCCACTAAGTCCCGGTCTCTTGAACTCCGTCAAAGCACCGCACTAGTTTGGCAAACAACCCTTGCCAATAGGATTCACTCCGAGATTTCACCACGGCTATCTCGAACCGTTTACAACGAAGATTTAACGGCTATCTTCTACCGTTCCCCCAAGGATTTCAAAGGCTATCCTTGAACCTTTACCCAAGGATTTATACGGCTATCCTTGACCGTTACAACGTGAGAATTTAACGGCTATTCTCGACCGTAAGAAGGTGTGTTTGAAGAACACAAAAGAGGATTCTACACAACGGCTAGAATATAAAAATGAAGAACAAAACTTAGCCGGTGTAGAA